AGGATTCCTTATTTGTAAATCAAATATTTTCATAGTTAGAGCATAGAGGACATGAAAAAACACCCTTTAGTCACCATTACACTCATATTACCCAATTTATTAAACGAAAAAGGGAAAATACAGTAAAACATTTTGGATGTTACAATTATCATTTATTATTTATTATATTATTTATGGCATCAAGCGTGCACAGTATGAGCCAATCAGTGGCAGTAATGACAGAGCATGCGCTGTTACACAAAAACCGCGATAGAGTGAAGCCGCGGAAGTCGAAGGGCGAAGTGGTGAGGGTTCACTGTAATGCAGATATAGTTAAGTTTGATACCTTATTATTTGTTTCCCCTTTGACCTCTTTAAAATTTTTAATTTAGTTCTAATTTTTATTATTACTTCCTTTATTTGGGATTGATGTTTCTCTGGTTTGGGGGGGTGGTTGTTGTTGGGGTTTTTCTTTTTTTATGACTTTAAGTGAAATTCAGGATAGGTAAATCTATAGAGACAGTAACTATGTTATATAGTTACTTATGATTATGATGGGATACTGGGGATGATGCGGAGCTAATAATAAGAAATAAGAAAATGTTTTAAAATGGATTGTGATGATGATTTCATAACTCTTTTTACTCAATAAAACCTTTGAACTGTATGATATGTGGATTACATGTCAGTAAAACTGTTAAAATTACACATAAAAATTATCAAGCATGGGTGGAAAGAGGGAGGGATAGGCAAATTGTTTGGGAAACAACTTTTCCCACTAGCAGCCAGTAGAGGAGTTGATACAAATTAGGAGCTCAATAAATGTGTTATAAATAACAATAGCTATTCTTTGATATAAATAACACTTCACACACTATATCTAGCGCTGCATTAATTAATCACTTTCCAAGTCTTATTCCATACTTATATAACCTTACATAGCTGTTCCATCTCAGTCCCATTTCACAGGTGAGGAAATGAGGTTTCTGGAGGGTTAATTTACTTTCCCAAGTCCTTACAGATAGTTAAGTGGCAAATGGAGATCTAGATTCAGGTGAATCTGAATTTAGTATCTGGCTCTAAGCCAGGTTGCTCTGACATCAATGGATGGTGTCCAATTCCTGCCTACTCGTTATGTAATTTACAGACTGACCTTTTAACATAACAGAGCAGGATTGAAGCAGTTGTGTTTCCAGGGATCAGTCATGAACTCCCCGAAGCCCTTAATGCCACTAACTGCACACGGGGTGTAAATGAGGACACGTGCACCAGCCCTGTCCCCAATGAGGTCCCCTTTCTTGTTACTGTTGGATGCTACTGATCCAGTTCTAAACCATACTGACCCTACAACATAAGGAAACATGGCCTGGTTCGGCACCACCCTCACAATCTTGCCACATTGGAGCTCCTTGCTGCAGCCACTGCATTAATCGCTCAGTGAAAGTCTTCCTCATTTTCACTGACCCTCTTGCTTGATCAAGCGTGATGTCCTTCTCTGGGGACTGGTCCCTCTTGAGAACATACCCACGCTGGCTTTCAAGGAGCCTGCTGGTCAGACTTCTTCTAAGACAGATTTCTGGAAAAACTTCACTCTCTTGGCAGTTCATGGTATATCCAATATTCTTGCTCAGCACAATAATCAAATGCATTCCCCTCCCTTTGGTCTTTCGTATTCATTGTGAAGATTTTGCATGTGTGTGAGGTGAGTGAATGTACCACGGCTTGGGTTCAGCTATCCCCTTCATCCTGAAAGAGACATTTTTACTTTTAAATGCTTTAAAGATATCTTCCGCAACAGATTTGTCCAACACACTACATATGTAACTGTTGTTTCCGTGGATGTGGATTGTAGAGTCAAAGAAAATTAGATCTTTGGCAACTTCAATATTTTCTCCATTTACCATAATGTTGCTTATTGGTGTAGTTTTGAGAGTTTTTGTGTTATAATGAGGTGTAATTCAAGTACTTTAAGTCCTCTTCACTTTCAGCCAGCAAGGTGGTATCATATGAATATTACAGGTTGCTAACGAGTCTTCCTCCAATCCTGAAGCTATATTCATCTTCATATAGACCAGCTGCTGAGATCACTTGCTCACCATACAGATTGAATAAATGTGGCAAAAAGATGTAATCTTATGCACACCTTTCCTGATTTGAAACACTTAATTTCCCTCTGTTCTGTTCAAATAACTGCTTGTCAGTCTATGTACAGGTTTTGCATGAGCACAATTGTTATGGAATTCCCATTCTTCCAAATCTTATCCAAATTGTTATAATCCACCACACTATTAGATCCTTTTGCATCCTCCATAAAACAAAGTCAACCACATTTCTGGTATTCTCTGCTTTCAGGCAACGTCCATCTGATACCACCAATGACTTCTCTTGTTTCACCACCTTTTCTGAATCTGGCTTGAATTTTGCCAGTTCCCTGTTGATGTATTGCCACAACCATTTAAAAATTATGATCTTCAACAAAATCTTACTTGTAATGACGCTAATTGAGAATTCCTGACTTTGGTTGGATCACCTTTTTGAATGGACAATAATATGGACCTCTATCAGTTGGTTGGCCATGTGACTGCCGTCCAAATTTCTTGGCATAGATGAGTGCTCCCAATCTCATGTCCTTTTGTTGAAGCATCTCAACTGGGATATGCTCACAATTCCTGGAGCTTTGTTTTTCACTAATGCCAGTAGTGTAGCTTGTACTTCCTCCTTCACATTGATTCTTAATCATATGCTACCTCCTAGTTGACCATTGACTAATTCTTTTTGGTACAATGGCTATGTATTCCTTCCATCTTTCCTTGATGCTTTCTGTGTCATTTGATATCTTGCCCATACTAAAATCAAACCCATTTCCATTGGGTTGATTGACTCAGAGACTCTGTATAGGACTTCTGAGTCTGTAAGTCTTTATGGCAGAACACAATCTCATCTTTCTCCCTCAGAGCAGCTGGTGTGTTTGAAACACTGACCTTGTGGCTAACAGTCCTTTGATATTTCCAATTTAGGCTTGTATTTTTTTCTTCAGTTATTTCAGCCTAAGAAATCTTAAGCATGCTCTTCATTTTTGCTTTTCTAACTCCGTCTTTGCACATCTCATTTAATACTTTGTCTTCTTCACTTGCTCTTGGAAATCTCCTGTTCTTTTACTTTTATGTCAACATTTCTTTCATTAGCTCTAGTTAATTTACATCCAAGATCAAGTTTCTAAGTCTCTCCTGACATCCACTTTGGTCTTTTCTATCATTTAATGAGCCTTTGCTTCAGTCATTAAGCTTTGGTCATTAGTGTTCAATGTGTTACATCTATTATTGAGGTGGTCTTAAAATTCGAGTGGGATATGTACAAGGTGGTGCTCTGACTTTCATGGACTTGTTTTAATTTTATCTTCAACTTAAAATTGCATATAAGCAACTGATGATTTGTTCCACAGTTGGTCCTTAGCCTTGCTTTAATGGATCTTGAGTTTCACCCTTGACTCTTTACACAGATGTAGTTAATCTGATTCCTGTGGCTTCCACCCAGCAACGTCCTCATGTGCAGTTGCTGTTGGTGATGCTGACTAAAAGGTATTTGCAGTGAATAAGTCACCAGCCTTTCAAGATGCATGTGATCTCTGATGTTTCTATCACCAACACCAATGATCGACACTTCATTTGTCTTTAATGTTCACATTGATTTTAATTATCAATACATTTTGATTGCATGTTGGATCACTTTCAGACTTTAGAGCTGGTAAAAGTCTTTCATTTTATTTTTCATTTTGATATTACTGGTTGGTTTGTCAATGTAAACAATCTTTATATTAACTGGTCTTCCTCTAGGCAAATGGATATTATCCTATCCCTGACAGTATTGTACTTCAGAATTGATCTCTAAATACTCTTTGTTATCAATGTGATGCCCTTTCTGCCTCTTATCCTGGCATAGATCACATGATTTTCCAGTTGAAATTGCCAGCGCCAGTCCATTTTAGCTTACTAATGCCTATGACATGAATCCATTTGTTTTGACGATTCTCAATTTTCCTAGTCATACTTAATATATTCTATGTTTTGATCATTAATGAAAATTTGCAGCTTTTCTTCTCATTTAGTCATGTCACACCAGCAAATGGAAGGAAAAGAAAAATTTACTGCATCCGCATCATCAGGGTCAACTTAACTTTGAGGCAGCAGCTGTTCCCCCGGTCGTATTTTGAGTGCCTCCCAGCCTGAGAGGCTCATCACTAAATTAGACAATACGGATAACTCTTTCTTTCTTTCTTTTTTAGAAGTAGGGCACCAGGTCTTTCTTTCTTAGCCAGTCTTAGTCTGGAAGCTCCGCTTAAATCTGTCCACCACGGGTGACCCTGCTCCAATTTGAAGTCCTGACGGCAGCCTCTGCGGTACCACAAACTGGCAGACGCGGGGTGGCGCATCCCGTTATCCCCACCTAGTTTGCGAGAGGAATCAGAAACCAAAGGTCGGTTCATTCCCCGTTCCCAGACGTTTGAACGTGGGAGAAGAACTAGCAAGAAAAGTCCCAGAGAAAAAAGAAGACAAACGGGCCAGGAATGGAGCGTTAAAGAGATGGAAAATTTTAGAGCGGGGTGGGGGGCGACAGGTTGAGACAGGAGAAAGGCGGAAAAGAGTGTAGTGAACGTAGAAAACTTGGGGGTAACTACGTTACGGGGAAGGCTCCGCAGCCTCCAGCGCTCTCTATTGCGCCTGCGCATTCCCTCAACGGTATACACGCCCCTCCCACCCCCGCCCCGCTGAAGATTTACTCGTCTCTCAGCAACCATTCACCAGAGGAGCCAATCAGAGGGCAACTCTCGCCCAACCCTCTCCCGTCAGCGCCCGGCCCAAGGTGCCGGGCGGGTCCGGGTTGCTCCGCCCCGCTCCCCGGCTCTCCCGGGAGGGCAGGCTTAGAGGCGGGGGCAGGGGCGGGAGCGGCGTGCGGGGGCGTGGTCAGGCCGTATAAGAGCGGAGGGGGCGGCGGCAGGACCGCTCACTCTGTGCCGCTGCCTAGGGGCTGTAGTGACCGCGCCGCTCCTGCTGGGGGGCTGCCCACGCCAAGGTCCTGCCTCTGTCGCGTCCTCTCCCAAACTCCCAGGTGAGTTGACAGCCCCTTCCCCTAAAGGTGCGAGGCTGCAGCGCCCCCAGTGAACGCTGCCCCTGTTCTCCGGGTCTGCCCCTGCCTAGTGTTCCAGCCTTTGACCAGTTTGGAGGGGAGGTGCGCACAGGTGCCCGGTTTCGGTCCTCAAGTCCCCCTCCATCTCTGGCCAAGACCCCTTCCCCGTGCGCACCCGCCCCGGAAGACCAGGCGAGACGCTCGGAGACAGGGCTCCAACTTTCCAGAGACTTCTGCCGAGGCTTGGCAAACTTGTGGGAGTTCCTGCTGCGAGCGTCTGTGGGGCTGCGCGCTTGCTGGGCGCTGGCTGGGCGGCCGAAGAGGGAGCGATGGGGGCTCCAACGTCCTCCCCGGATCAGACGGTGGCCCCGCCGCCCGGGCCTGGCTTGCGGTGCCCGCCGCATACCCCTGCGCCCCGGAAGGCGCGCGCACCTCCACCGGCTGGCGGAACCAGCGCGGATTCCAATCCGGCGCTTTCCAAAGGCGCGGTTGGGGATGCAGCGGTCGGGGGGATTCCCGGAGAAGCGCTGCGTGTGTCGGAGGACGCAGGAGGCGAGGTGCCCTTTTTAGGCTCCGTGCCCGTACCGGGCTTTGAAGGCCGGTGGGGTAGTGGAGAAGCCCTCTCGGTTCTTGGATTCAGTCGACTGTGGGCACCGTGAGTGACCCGAGCGCTGCGCGTCTCTCGGAAACTTTTGGGAAATACGGTGCCTGTGAAAACGCTCCCTGCGCTTGAGCCATGACTCTCATTTATTAGGTAGGCGTAAAGTCATGACGCGTTAGGCGACCGGGGTAGCGGTGCTTGCTGGTGGCTCAGAGGCGCGGTTGCTGGGGAGGTGTCGCAATCCCGGTGCTCCTTCGCAGATATGCGGGCGGAGGAGGGAGCGGGATAGGAGAAGGCCCCAGAGGGCGAGGAGCCTGTAGGGGGCATGTTGTGCCCTGCACACCTAACCACGGTATGAAGCAGGTGAGAAAGCGCGCCGGTGCGTCAGCTAAGGAAGGGAAGACTGGGTGAGAAACCTCTGGCGAGTTTGCCTTGACAGCCCCGGACCGCGCTACGTTCAGTCTGTGGGCCTGCGGGTTAGGGTTTGGACCTCTCTGGGAGGGATGATTCGGCTCCCCATCCACTGCCCCAGGAATGCTCTGTGGGGGCCTACCTCGTCTTCAATGGAGATGTGTTTCCTTTTTAACGTTGTATTTTATAGTGTTACATGTAAACAACGAAGGGCTTATCAAAAGTGCTCTTGGAATCATTTATATTGTGACTACTTGGTTGGGTGGGTATTTGATAGGTGGCTTCAGAACCCCAGCGGACCCCTCCCCCGCCGCCACCACCCAAAGTAAATTAATCGAATTAAATTCTGAAGTAGGCGCCTAGTTTGGCTCAGCTGTCCTCTAGGGGAGGGGATGAGGTTGGCCACTGTTGGCTATGCAGACCTTTCAACGGGAGTAGTAACTGGGCAAGCAGGCAGGCAGGCAAAGCAGCCAGCCAGCAAGGAAGGTGGTGCGAGCACTTACCAAGAACTGCTGTGCCTTAAATCCCCAGAGGTATATTGGAGAGTGACACCTGAGACTTCTGGACTCCGAAGGGGTGGGGGTAGGAGTGAGGAAGAGGGAAGACTGACTGACTTCTGCAGCCAGCTGAAGCGGCCCTCAGGATTTTCTCTAGAGTTCAGTTCATTTTCCTTCAGATAACTGACACCTTGTCATAAGGTGTGCCCCTAGTGAGTTTCAGAATTGTGTATTGGCTTGCGTGTTGCATATAATTGTATATAAGATTGGTATATTGTACATAATTGTTCTGGTGGTTGTGGTTGTGTGTGTGTATACCATCAAAGTTATTATTTACTACCAGTTTCTCTAAATTGTTAGCTCAAACCTCTTATCACTGAATCTGTTGCCATCAATTCTCGTTTATGGAAACCTGTCCGGTAAAGTAGAACTTCCCCGGGGGCATTCCAAGGGAATACATCTTTGTAGCAGTAGACTGCCAGGTCCTTCTCCCTAGGAGCCTCTGGTGGGTTGGAACCAAGGAGCTTCCAAATAGCAGTGAGTGCCTAACCCCACCAGGGTCCCTTTACCAAAATGAAGGCCCCAGATTTCTGGTGTGTGTACCTGGAGCTAACAGCACCACTTTCTATTTCGGATTTCTTCCACCATAATCACCTCGTATCGTGGAACTCTGAGGGGAAGGATTTGGCTCGTAGGCTGTTGGTCCAAGTAAGTGTGCGATTGAGCACTAATAACTTCCCTACGTGGTTTTCCAGCCCGACTATGAATTCGAATAGTACATAGAGATCTTTCTCGGTTTCAAAGCCCTCCCCACCCCTATCTCCCAGTGGTGCATGCTCTTAGCCTACATCATCACCCTGTGTTCAGGGCCAGGCCAGATATTCACATCTTGCACTACCCATCGGAGAACAGAGGATTCCTGGCTTCTAGAAGTCCAAGGAACAGCCCAGCAATAAAGCTAACTTAAAAAAGTAGACCATAGTGGCCTTGTTCTCACTATACCATTAACTGGCAGCATTTGATAGTGAATTAGAGAACCACAGTTCTTTTATGGTGCAAATCAGTAGTAACTTGATGGCCACCTTCCATCTCTGGTATGTTGTGAGCCTGTCATGGCCACTAAAGAAAGGCAACCCAAGCACTCAGAAGCAGTGCAGTGACATGGGAAAGCTTAAGTGAACTAGAGAAATTGGAGGGCCCTTGGTGGAGTTAGGGTCAAGCTTGACTGCTAAATTAAAGGTTGGACACTCTAATCCACCAGCTGCTCCAGATGAGGAAAGACCGGTGATCTACTGCCATACAGGTTACAGCCTTGGACACCCTCAGGCAGCTCCACTCTGTCTTACAGGGCTGCTGGAAATCAGAAGTGACTGGCAATGCTGAGAAGTGGTGGGGAAGC